GTCTGTCGGGATGTCTGTCCATCCGTCCCGATGTCCATCCGGGTCTCTGTCCGTCCACCCAGGTGTCCGTCCACCCAGGTGTCCGTCCATCCAGGTGTCTGTCTGTCGGGATGTCTGTCCATCCATCCTGTTGTCCATCCAGGTGTCTGTCCATCCACGTGTCTGTCCATCTGGATGTCTGTCAGGGTGTCTGTCCATCTGAGTGTCTGTCCATCCATCCCAGTGTCCATCTGTCCCAGTGTCTGTCCATACAGGTGTCCATCCATCTGGGTGTCTGTCCATCCATCTGGAAGTCCAGCCATCTGGGTGCCTATCTGGGTGCCCATCTGTCTGTCTCAGTGTCTGTCTGTCCGTCTAGGTATCTCTCCATCCAGGTGTCCATCTGAGCATCCATTCATCCGAGTGTCCTTATGTCTGTCCAGGCATCCATCTGGATGTCCATCCATCTGGGTGTTAGTCCAGACTCTGGATGTCCATCTGGGTGTCCATCCCTCTGGGTGTCCATCTGTCTGGCTGTCTGTCCACAATTTTGTCCATCCTCATGTCTGTCTATCCAGGTGTCCATCTGTCCAGGTGTACATCCAGGCATCCATCTGTCTGGGTGTCCACAAGTGTGTCCATCCTCATGTTCATCCATCTGAGTGTTCCTCTGAGTGTCTGTTCATCCAGGTATCCATCCATAGAGGTGCCCATCTGTCCAGGGGTCTCTCAAGGTGTCTATCTGTCTGAGTGTCCCTGTATCCATGTGTCCACCTGGGTATTCATCCAGGTGTCTGTCCGTCCTGGTGTCAGTCTGTCCAGGAGTCTATGTGTCCAGGTGTCCATCCAGATGTCCATCCATCTAGGTGTCCATCTAGTTGTCCAGCCATCTTGGTGTCTGTCTGGGTGTCTGTCTTTTCAGGTGTCTGTCCACATACTTGTCCATCTGGGAGTCCATCTATCTATCTGCTTGGGTGTCTGTCTGGGTGTACATCCATCTGGGTGTCCATCTAGCCACCCAGCTATCTGTCTGTCTGTCCATCTGGGGGGGGTCCGTGTGTCTATCTGGGGGTCCATCCATCTGTGCATTCAGGTGTCCATCCCTCCCGCTCCCTGTCTATCCATCTGGGGGTTTGTGTGCCCATCCAGAAGGGACACATCTGTCCACTGGTCCGGGACTGTCCCCTGGGTCCAAGGGATTTCTGTCTGTCTGGTGTGCCCCCTGCCATGCCTCAGTTTCCCCATCCCTAAAAGGGGCGAATGACCTTCCCCCCCATCCTGGTAGTGCTGTGGGGACCCCCCAAAATCCCCTCCAGGAGCTCTGGAAAGTCCCCAAATCCCAAGCCAAAAACCTCCGGCAGCTCCAGACTTCCCCTTTGCCCACACCGGGGTGGGGGGATGGAACCAGGGATGCCTGGACCCTTCCTGCTG